TGATTCAGAATACAACTAGGCCTGCCCAGATTTCCTTTGAGGACAACTATAGGACTAGTTTAGGATACAGGGTATGCCTATATGGCTTGAGGTCCCACTCTACATACCAGAAAGCCTTGTACAGAAGTGACATTTTGACAGGTTATAAAGCCACCTTGAAAGAAAATACATGGGTAGGTCAGGATCCTCTGGTAGGGCTTTTTTGTACAATTTAAACTGTTTTCAGTATTAATTATGAACATATCTCTTTTTAAAGCACAAATTATTATAGAGACATTTGAAAATTCCCATGCCTGATAATAATTAATAGCCCCTTTTATTGCAGTATTGAGATGCAGAGAAGTTCAGGGGTCTTCCAAGTGACATGTTTCCCCATGGCTGGTCAAAATGTAATGCAGCACCTCTAAGGTTAGAAGTGCTGTTTTGTCTCCCATCTAATACTAGATCTACACTTCCTTCAACATTTTTTCCATTTACTGAAGATGGAAAAACCCCCACCACCCAGAAATCGTACAGTACCTAGACTCTAAGACTGAATTATGCCAAGTTATTTTTACAGTATGATCTCATAGTTAGAAGAAAGGTGTATGTGGTTTTGCAGTTGATGGCAAGAGCTCTGGTGTCACATGCATGGGTGAGAATCTCACTATGGTACCTTGTCTACTGTGTATGACCAAGAGCCACTGTCTTAGTCCGTTCAGGCTGTTATAACAAAATACCACAGACTAGGTGGCTTATAAACAATAGAAATTTATTTCTCACAGCTCTGGAGGCTGGAAGTCCAAGATGAGGGTGCCAGCATGGTTGGGTTCTGGTGAAAGCCCTCTTCCCCAGTTGTAGATTGCAACTTCTCACTGTGTCCTCGCATGATGGAAGGGGGTTAGGGAGCTCTCTGGGATCTCTTTTATAAGAGCACTAATCCCAGTCATGAGGGATCTGCCCTCATAACCTAATCACTTCCCAAAGGCCCCACCTCCTAACACCATCACCTTGGGGATTAGGATTTCAACAGATGAATTTTGGGAGAATACAAACATTCAGACTAAGGCAGCCACCTACACCCTAAAGGGCTGGGCTAAGGTTTTATTAGGTAACTTACAGCCTGATACACAGTACATTCTGAACAAATATTTTCCTCCTACTTCCCAAACTAGTATTCCAGGATGAACTTCTACGTTTATTCTCTAGTCTTGGAATAAGAAGAAAAGATCGATTACTTCTGCATTTGCTATCTTCAATGGACTCCTGTAGACGAACAGATGAAAAATGTTCTATTTATAGTTTTATAAAAAATTAAGGCCACAACCTTCTGAATCACTTAAGATCAATAAATATCATTTTGAACTCCTTTCTCAATGACCAATGGTCCTGTGTTAGTCAAGGATCTGCCAACATTTTATTTAACAAAGCTACAAAATACTATAACTAGCAATAATTGGTTCAGAAAGTTAAATAATACTAGGGTACAAAATCGTTCCTGAATTTTAGAAATGTTATCCCCCAAATTATTAGCAAAACTATTTAGCATTCTGAGTGCTAAACTACTCCCAAATCTTATTTTACAAACATTTTTGAAAACTTATTGGAACTGTATTGCCTGTTGTGGTTATAGATTTCAAGTAAAATCAGCATATTAGCTGGAATCTAGACTCAGCAGACTCAACTAAGAGTCTGTTAGTCTCTCTGGAGTTTCTCTAGCTTTCACATTTTGAGGGGCGGGTACATTTATTTGTCATTAAGTATTCTGAGTTCATAAAAATGGGGAGGGAAGTTTTCTAGACTCTTCATATCAAATTGGCATAAAACCTAAAAACAGCTCATGGGAAAACAAGCACAGATTTGTGACAGGGTTTCCTACTAGAATTGTTATAATCTCTGCCTCCTAAATAACACACATTTTTAAATGATCTGAAGTACAATCAGATATGAGATGTAGATGTAATATACTGGGTATATCATTTAAAATGCGTGTCCAATGGAATAGACATTTTAAAAGAAGGGCGGCAAACTGAATTTAAACATTGTCTATACAAGTCAGTATTAATATCATGAGTCTGGCTTAATCAGTCAAAAGTAAAAAATCAGTTTAATAAAATTGCATATTAAAATGGTTCAAGGCTTTTTTCTTTGAGGAAGTTTACCCCTGCGCTAATATCTGTTGCCAATCTTCCTTTTTCTTTTTTCATTTTCTCCCCAAAGCCCCAGTACACAGTTGTGTATCATGGTTGTAGAGTTGTAGCTCCTCTATGTGGGACACTGCCTCAGCATGGCTTGATGAGCAGCGAGTAGGTCCGCACCCAGGATCCGAACCAGTGAACCCCGGGCCGCCAAAGCGGAGTGCACAAACTTAACCGCTATGCCACCAGGCTGGCCCCCAGGTTCAATGCTTTTAGGGTTGAATTTTTTAATCTAAAGTATTAAAGTAAATATATAAACCTTTATAGTAAGAAAGTCTGTAGGCAATAAAACATTCTGGGTAATTTTGTAAAAATTAGTATTGTATTATATTAATTAAATTTATTTTATTTTAAATAAAGACATGTTAAATATACAGTTATCTGACTTTTTTTCCTCCAGTCCTTGGTGCTCTATAACGGGGACTGGCATACTACAACTCACGGACCAAATCTGGCTACTGACTGTTTTGGTAAATCAAGTTTTATTGGAACACAGCCATGCCCATTCATACGTATCATCTGTAGTTCCTTTTGCTACAACTACAGAGTTGAGTAGTTGCAACAGAGATCTTATGGTGCTCTGGTATGCTGGAAAACGTTTTCAAATAAGGCGAATAGTAAAATCGTTATTAAAAAGAGAAAAAATATCCCTAGGTACTTTGGTTTAAAAGTAACATTTTCAATATTTAAACATATTTTCTTAAAGATTTCTTTTTAACCACTAAAAAGCAATAAAAACTGCATCTTTTGAATCAGATATTTAAAATGTTTCAGATAGAGATATTAAAATTCAAATCAGAAATATTTAGGGGCCGGCCCCGTGGCTTAGCGGTTAAGTGCACGCACTCCACTACTGGCGGCCCGGGTTCGGATCCCGGGCGCACACCGACACACCACTTCTCTGGCCATGCTGAGGCCGCGTCCCATGAGGCCGCGTCCCACATACAGCAACTAGCAGGATGTGCAACTATGACATACAACTATCTAGTGGGGCTTTGGGGAAGAAAAAAAAAAAAAGGAGGCAGGATTGGCAATAGATGTTAGCTCAGAGCGGGTCTTCCTCAGCAAAAAAAGAGGATTAGCATGGATATTAGCTCAGGGCTGATCTTCCTCACAAAAAAAAAAAAAGAGAGAAATATTTAGAGGTGAATGACTTACATTTGTAAATCCTACTATTAGCAGTAAAGATGTTCCTTAAAAGAGACTAAACTGGGGCCAGCCCCTTGGCTTAGTGGTTAAGCGCGCGCGCGCTCCGCTGCTGGTGACCCGGGGTTCGGGTCCCTGGCGCGCACCGAAGCACCGCTTCTCCGGCCATGCTGAGGCCGCGTCCCACATACGGCAACTAGCAGGATGTGCAACTACGACATACAACTATCTACTGGGGCTTTGGGGGGGGAAAAAAAAGGAGGAGGATTGGCAATAGATGTTAGCTCAGAGCCAGTCTTCCTCAGCAAAAAGAGGCGGATTAGCACGGATGTTAGCTCAGGGCTGATCTTCCTCACAAAAAAAAAAAAAAGAGAGAGACTAAACTGTATGGTGGGCTTGTAACTGTAATTAGTGGAAGCAGGAGTTTCCAATATGCCTTATAACACAAGGAACCCTGAATATCAACCAGCATGTCAGTGTGTTTTTCAAACTGCACCACACACAAGTGTCCTCTGCCTCCTATTACTGCATACCTAACGTAGCCTGAAGGTCAAAGCCAGACAGACATATCCTTGTCACTGAATGTTTTGACCATGACTGATACAGTCGAGTTTCCTTCTTCCACTAAAATCATGGAGAAAAAACAAAACCAAAACTCAAGGGCAATCACTATACCAGTCTTAAGAGGAAAAAGAAGAGAGAAATAAATTCAAAAGTGGTTAAACACAATGATCAGCTCAGACTTCATTTTCACTAGAAGGCTATTTTTGGAGTCACATATTTTAATTGTTGTGTAAAGAAGGTTGTAACACAAACGATGTCTGTGAGAAAGTAAAGTTCAGCCAATACATAAAATGATAGTGATCTGAAACAAGCATAAAATCATCAGGCTATTGACAGCTGGAGAAATTCCACATGCTAAGCAACTCAACTACAAAGAAATATTAGAGGTTTGAGATGAAAAATACACTGGAATCTGTAATTGAATTAGACAAGCCTCGTCGCACGCAGGGCTACGCTGGTCACCAGGATACAAAGCAAATGCCGGGTTACCAGAAGTGCATTTATCAGCCACAGTGATTTATTGAGTGCTTTAATAATACAAGTGTACATCAACTGATCCACAGTCAAAAGTGGCAGGTCCCTAAGAAATTTACAAGCACTTTAAGTAAATCAAAATACATATTATTTTGTTCAATCCAACAGTCTTCTGTGTGGGGGACAGAAGGCTAGTGATAAACAGAGTCTCAGTAATGCACAGTGATTCTGATTGAAGCTTTTGTACAAAAACTTGTTCCCAGTAGCATGCACCCACCAATAAAGACTTCAGTACAAAAAATTAATCTTAAGCACTACATTTAAGTAGAAACGAGATATAATTCTGAATTCGTGTTTCCCCGAAGATCACATAAAAGGAAAAAAATCAAAATAAAACAAACAACAACAAAAAACAAAACCACACAGTAATACAAAGCTTTGTAAGAAAGCTCTTACTATTATAGATCCAACATTGTTTGCACTGAAAACAAAAGTTCCCATCCATATTGCGGTGGGAAAAAAAAATTCCAAATCTTTCAAGTTAATAGAAATCAAAAAGGGAATAAAACAAGGGGGTTGGGAGGGAAAGCAAAGGAAGAGGAGGAGAGAGAAGGGAGGAGGGAGGGGGGATGGATGACATACCATCACAAAACGGTTCAAAATTTAATAAAAATAAGAAAATAAGAACCGAGGTCTGGAGGGGCGGGTAGGGCTATTGATGCACTTGGTGAATGTGCTTGCACAGGTCCGGCAGGGGCAGCAGGCAGCAGGCCCCTATGTGGCATACCGCTTGGTCCACTGTCTGGCCATCCGGTCGTGCTCCGCTCTGTTGGTCATGTACTGTGTGGCAATGCTCCCCACCAGAGGGTCAGCTGGAAAGGAAGCAGAGTCAGAAGTCAGTAAATACCCATACCTCTTCCTCTTTCAAAGTTGGGGAAGAGAAGGAGTGTCTGGAAAGCTGGTCCTTGTTCAAGAAGTAGGCTGGGAGGAGGTGAGAAGCTGCGGCTCTCACCTGGAACAATGTCACTTGGGCAATGACCTGCCACTGCTAGACCACATTTCATACCAGCTGCCCCAGGAGTCATCTACTTGTGCTTTTACTGATACCTCTTGTCATATTTCTCAAGGTGTCTTATTCTCTCTCCCTGCCCCCACCACACACTTCTCACCCTCTTCGCCTTGTTTACAAGTAGATATTTCACTGAGAAAATGCAGGTGGGCTGTGGGAGGGAGACTTCAGGGTCCTTGATAAGACCTCTTGGGAGGAGGTTCTACTGACCTGGCCAACTCCTTTAGCCCAGGTTACACCCCAGGCAGTGGCGGTGTATCTGCATTGAGGGAGCATTCACAGCCTCGGCTGAACGTAATCAAGCAGCAGCTGGTAGTGAGACCCAATGACACAAGGGAAGATGGTCTACTTCTCCCTCCAAATTTGAGAATATCAAGATCCACACGGCTCTTTATTACAAAAATGCTAACAGATGTTAATAATAGCTAACACTCACTGCTTTACCATGTCCGAAAACGTATTAACTACATAAAGCTTGGAGAAAGCTGACACCTGAGGGAGCTGAAGCACAAGGAGGCAAAATCACTTGCCCAAGGCAGCAGCGCAAGGGGCAGGGCAGGGCTCTGAAATGGAGTCCACACTCCTAACTACAGGCAGCTCGGGAGATTGTTCTCTACCCAGACAGGATCAGTGTTTAATGAAAAAAATCAAAGCAATGAAAAAAAAGTAATTTAGGTTTCTGGAGATCCCAGAATCCACCCCTCTCCCTCTATTCTCTAATTTCACTCCTTCCCTGATTTTTGTTTCCCATACTTTTGGTGTTGAGAATTTGAATGTATCAGAGCAAGTGGATAAGAAGGAACCAAAAAGGAAAAGGAGAAAAATTAGCAAAAGCTAATGTTAAATATGAAAAAAAAAAGGTAAAGAATATAGAAGTGTGCCTATGGTCTAATACCACTCATTACTTGAGAAGATTCTGAGACTCTAACCTAGTAAGATATTCATGGTCACACCTTCTCGACATTAAAAGTACAGTAGAAACACCACCTGTTAATGATCTGTTGAGGCTGATGACAACAAACCCACGGAAAAGCCCCCCTACAAGACCTTGCTTAAGTTTTAACAAAACTTAGCTAAGTTTTCTTGTTGTGCTAAGCTTGTTATTGTTATTCTAGGCAGAGGCCAGTTTCTTACATTCATTTATATCACAAACAGTTAATAGACTACCCAGTATATAGGTTTGCTCAGAACTTGTGCCTCTCTGCCTACTCTCGTGATTCTTTTCCTTCACTTGCCCAAATGCTGAAACTGAAACTCTATCACTTAAACCAGCCCAGCCAGGGTTCAAGAAGATTTGAACCAGCAATACCAAATGTAGACACAAAATACCTGGGAATTGACAAGATAGTTTAAAAAAATGTGGTCTTTCAGTTCAGACTAAGTAACGACTTTGTTGTCTAAAAAGTGCCAAAGAGAGGTCTGAGTCACATTTCTCTACCCTCGAAAAAAATCATCTTGTTCCAATTTCTGGCAGTCAAGAATGCAAAGCCTTGGGGTGAAACTTGGGCATCCTCAATATCTTAAGTCTACATCACTCAAGACAGGTGTTTAATTAAATAGACTCTAGAGTAGTGAAACACACTAAAGATCCACCTATACTTCCTAACTTACTGATGGAGGCAGAGAACAAGCTTACTGTCAGAAGAAGGACCAGTGAGGTTAATGTTCTACCTCAAATTGTATCCTCACGCAGTAAGGAAAAAGACAGGTCTGTTGTTTCAGCTCAAAGGACGGAGAGGGAGACAGATGAAGGATAGGGAACAGGAAGCTACGGGGTGAGGAAAGGTGTTAGTTACATCAAGTGTTAACACTATTTCAGTAGGGGAAGAAAAGGGAAAAAAATCTCAGAGAGAAATTAGAGTGCAAAAATTTTTTTGTATGCTTAAATAACAGTAAATTTATTTGAGTTCCTTTTACCTTATCAAGTTTGATTTTAAAAAGAAAAATATTTTTCTACCTGTAAAATTATACATGCTAACTTTAAAAACGATAATTAATAATAATTTTAAAAACCATCTCAGACAATACACAAGACAGAAAGCTCTAAGAGAAGACCACCTGTAAATTCACTCAGAGTGGTAGTTAACATTTTGACTTATATCTTCCTAGACTTTTCTAAACATATAATTTTAAAAAAAGGATTAATTTATAGTCTGCTTTTGTATCTTTAAAAGATCACTATATGGTAAATAATTTTTATACCAATAATTACAGACCTACTTCATCATTTTTTATTTATTTTTTAAAATAATTTTATTTATTTTTTTCCACCAAAGCCCCAGTAGATAGTTGTATGTCATAGCTGCACTTCCTTCTAGTTGCCGTATGTGGCACACAGCCTCAGCATGGCCGGAGAAGCGGTGCGTCGGTGTACGCCCGGGATCTGAACCTGGGCCGCCAGCAGCAGAGTGTGCGCACTTAACCGCTAAGCCACGGGGCCGGCCCTTCATCATTTTTGATATTCATCCAAATTAATAACCAGTTTCCTGTTTAGAGACATTTGGGTTCTTTTCAATTTTTTGCTTTATAAACAATGCTGTAAAGAACATTATTGTACATGCCATCTCTGCAAATTTATAAAAATCTTAAACTCGTTTAAAGTATAAATGAAGGAATAAAAGTATAAGATGAAGGAATTTTAAAATCATGTGTTATTAATCAAATAGTTTTTAATGCTAAAATGTTCTGCTGAATAGAAGAAAGTTAAGACTGCAAGGAAACGAATTGAAACTATGCAACATACATGTAGCCAATGACTATCACAGTGAATTTAATGGAATAAGACACTCTTTTTTAAAATTTATAATTGTGATCTTAAGTAAGGTGGAATCTTGTTACAGGGTTTCATATTTCATAGATACAGATATGCAAGGGATGAAACAATCATCTCCAAACATAAATTACTCGACTGTATTTCTCTAACAATTTCTTTCTAAAAAAGGAAAAATTTCCCATGATTTTAGGTTTCCAGATTGTTACTACTTTCCCAAGTCTTTATCAGTCTTTGAGATTATCATCTGTCAGTCTTCCTACTCTTTACTAAAGAAAAACACAAAGTTCATCAGTGGATAAGTCAATAGAAATTTAAGTCTCTTACATTTTCTGCCTTTGTTCAGCAACTATTTGAATTTTTGAAAAGAGGAGCAAGTTCACACTTTGCTCCTCTTACAACACAAGGTTAGATGATTATAACACTTAATTCTCCCAAAGAATAGTGTGGCATGTATTACAGGTTCCTCGAGGCAGAGGTACAGGATTTACAGTGTAGTCAATAGAAAATCCTGGGGGTGGGAGTTGGGTATACAATGCCCTCCATTAACCAGACCTCTAAACCACATCGCCTCATCTGTTCAATAAATCATGTCGTTATTTTTGTTGACACAATACTAGCTATGAAATACTAGCCTGACTGAAAGCCTAAGACTGAAAGATCACTGATGATGGGTGACATACCTTCTTCCTCTCTCATCTCCCCTTTGTCTCCCTACACAGCTCCAGGCACAAACAGGTGCTGTTCACTAAATACTAGTGGACTGAATAACAATCATGATTATCTGCAAGTGAATGAAAAGTGATCAGACGGAGTACTCTGCTCCCTCTCCCATTTTTTTGGAGATCTGTGGTATGTGCACTTTTGATTCTAGAGGAGAAAGGCCCAGACAGCTCCTGGAACCCCGACTCAAGCCTCATGTCTCTCATGGCTGGGGCTACCCTGGAAGTACTCTGGGGTACCCTGGAAGCCAAAAAGGTTTACAGCCCGTCCAGAAAAGGAGGAGGGAGACAGAGTTCAAGACTAAAGGGGATAAGAAGCATCTGAATGGTAAGAGGGGAGCGGAGAAAAGACAGGCAGACTGCTGCACTGCTGAGTGATTCTATTTGAAAGGCCAAAGAACATTCTATCTTGGTTGGTAGGTGGTATGGGAGAAATTACATGGAAAAAAATTTTTTTGATTCCTTTTTCTTAAGAAAGCATGTTTTTAAACAAATACAAACAAAAATAGTACAGTCTAATGGAAAAGGGCATGGGCTTTGGATCCAGACTGCCTGGGTTTGTATCTCAGTTCCACCAATAACTGAGTCAACTTGGGGAAATTACTTAACTTCTCTGTGCCTCAGTTTCCTCAACTGCAAAATGGAGACAACAAGAGTACCTACTCCACCGACTGTTATAAGAATTAAACGAATTCTTGTAACATACAAAATTTCTATTAATTTCAAAATGAAGACAAGCAAATTAAGTATTTGTGTGCATCTTTTAAAAATACAAATTTGCTTATCTTCTTGAAGACATTCTCTTCAGATAAAATCCAAAATCCTTAGCATGGCTCCCAAGATCTTCTGTGACCTAGACCTAATCTTTCCAGCCTTCTCTATCCATGCTTTAAACCAGAATAAATGACTTGCAGTTTCTTCAGTAAGCCCTGCTCTTTCATGGCTCTGCACCTTTGCCTGGCAGGCTTCTTCTCATCTCTCAACACTTAGCTCAGGCATAGCCTCCTTGGGGGATATCTTCTAGGGGCTTCCTAGCAGTCTTATGTGCCCCATTTCTGTTTTGTCTATTCACGCCTCTATCACTGCACTGAGAATACTGCCTTCTAGTTGTCTGTTTAGTTATCCATATTTCCCACTGGACTGGCACCCACACATTCATTTGTCTAACAAATATTTACTGAGTCCCTACTATGTATCAGGTACTGGAGAACTAGTGCTAAGCAAATTCCTACCCTCATGGGACTCTGCGGCCCTCTTGTTAATCCTATGTTTACTGCAGGGACAGTATGGATGGACAGAAGAACATAACTAAATAAGGAACACACACAAAATAGCCATTAATAGCAGTTACTCCATAAGGTAGGTGTCCCTCCGTAGCACTAGCATTATAAGTTGGTTCATCATAGAAGTTTCTCCTCTATACATGGATTATCAGCAAATGAGAGAAGGGCACCTGATGGTGATTCTGACAGTTTTCTTTCACTTTCCTCTTGTTTTTCTTTTTTTTTTAAACTTCATTATTTTATTATTGGAATTTGTGGTTTGTACTTTCTCATTTCTTGGATTCTTCAAGGTTTTAAACCACTGCTTCTCTAGCTGTTCAATTATACTTGCGATTAACATTATTCTTTTGGCTACCCACCAAGTCACCAGAGACTTTCTGTGGGTCTGCTTTGCAATGATGAGGAATAGCTCATTTTTGCGTCTTTCACAGAACTTTTCTTCCATGGTTTGGTCTAGCCTAGCTTTACTTAAATCTTTTATAAAATTAAAAAGTAATAGATGCTCACTATAATAAATTCAAATAATAAAGACGTATGTAGGATGTAAGAAATATTACCTTCTTCCCTGCGATTTCCTCCATCCCAATACCCCTTCCATCCTGAGGTAACCACTATTAATGGTTTGATGCTCATCCCTCCACACTTTTCTCTCTATTTTTAAATCAAATGGGAATCACATGACAGACATTCTGCAACTTGCATTTTCCTCTCTAACACTATACTGTAGTTGTGTTTCTAAGATAGTAAAAATAGATCTAGTTCATTATTTTTAGTGATTACAGGGCATTCTTTTACATAGTTATCTGGCATTATTTTTTCCATACCCCTACTGATGCCCATTTAGATTTGATTTGATTTTTCGCTATTAGAACTAGTACTACAGTCTTGTATAAATCTTTGAGCACATGTTTGAGTACTTTGGAGGGTAGATTCCTCTAAGTGACAGGGCTAGACCAGAGAGTACACATTTTAAACTTTGGGTAAATATTGCCAAACTGCCCTTCAATAAAAAGATGTACAATTTACCCTGTTTCTGGACATTCTCACCAACACTGCTTTACCAACCTTTTAAATTTTTTTGTCAAAGTAACAAAAAAAAAAATCTGTCACTGTTGTAACTGCATGTAACTTGATGCCTACTGAGGTTTAACACTTTCTCATGTTCGTTCACTATTTGCATTTCTTCTCCTGTGATCTGTCTGTTCACGTCTTTTGTCCATTTTTTTCTTACTAATATGAAAGAGTATTTTATATATTACAAATATTAAGCATGCACTGAAGTTCAGCTTTGGCCTCAGTATTCAGCCAAAATCGGGTTTAGTCTTTGTAAGACTGAATAGACAGACGCCTCCTTTGATGACAGTACCAGCTTTACTGAACTTGTGCAGATCAAAGATCACATAGGTTATCATCATATTTAATAAGCATAATACCGTCATTTGGACTTATTGCTAATATCTGAATACTGGTTTAAAAAACATTGGTAAGCATTAGGACTGTAACTTGGGACTGAAAACCTCTTGTAGCCAAAGACAAACAATAAGACATACAAGGGAAAGATTTGGAACTGCCTTCACATGTATTCACACAAACGTTCAAAGTGAGACGGAAGAGCAGCTATCACACGTGAAAAGGCTGCTGGAACAAAACGAGTCTTAATATTGTTCCCTGCAGATACTAACACTGACAGAAAAGGACATGATAACAACCAATGGCTGCCGGCAGAGAAAGTAACACATCCAGTAATTGTGTGAAGCAGCAAGCGAATGTAAAAACACTAGAAATTGGGGCCGGCCCCGTGGCTTAGTGGTTAAGTGCACATGCTCCGCTACTGGCAGCCCGGGTTCGGATCCCGGGTGCACAGCGACAGACCGCTTCTCCGGCCATGCTGAGGCCGCATCCCACATACAGCAACTAGAAGGATGTGTAACTATGACATACAACTATCTACTGGGGCTTTAGGGAAAAAAATAAAAGGAGGAGGATTGGCAATAGATGTTAGCTCAGAGCCAGTCTTCCTCAGCAAAAAGAGGAGGATTAGCATGGATGTTAGCTCAGGGCTGATCTTCCTCACACACACACACACAAAAATACTAGAAATAAAAACGTGAGGGCAAAAATCTTACGTCTGCATCTTAAATATTCAGAAAGTGTTTTCTTTAAGCATTGCACATAGGTTCAGTTTGTGGGAGTGCTTCAACGACACTGCATCATCACCATCAGCCAAATCTTTAGGTCTAGGAGTTGACGAGATAAGTCTTTACCTTTTCATTACCATTAGAGAAAAAAGGAAAGCTTATTGATCTGATAGCAAAATCTCCATTAACAGTAACCCACATTGGCATAGCCCCCCAAATTCATGATTTTTACTAGGTAAAAAGATCTATTTAAGTATTGCAAATGTGCAGAGGAGCCATTTAGCAACTGGCAGTGCTGAGAAATTATACTGCTACATCATGATGACAAACTTTAAAAACACACTGAATTTTTAATAATAAAATTATAATATTACTTAAATTCTTAAAATAAACCTTCACAGGAGGCAGCCTGGTGGCACAAGTGGTTAAGTGTGCGTGCTTTGCTGCGGCTGCCTGGGGTTCACTGGTTCGAATCCCGGGCGCACACCGACGCACTGCTTGGCAAGCCATGCTGTGGCGGTGTCCCATATAACGTGGAGGAAGATGGGCACAGATGTTAGCCCAGGGATAGTCTTCCTCAGCAAAAAAAAAAAAAAAAAAAGAGCAGGATTGGCAGATGTTAGCACAGGGCTGATCTCCTCACAAAAAAACAAAAAACAAAAACTTCATATTTATTCTTGTATCTCAGAAGATCATTTTATGATGGGAACATTCAACCTTGCCTTAGGCTATTTGATTTTAACACTGGCTGTTCAGTATTCAGCCAAAATAAATTCAGTGTACCTCTAAGGATACTACTATTTATCTACGATGTGTGCAAGAAATATTTTCTCCCAGCATATCATTTGTCCTTTAACCTAGTTTATGATGTCTCTTGCCACATATAAATTTAAAATTTTAAGTAGTTAAATAAGTCAATCTTTCTTTATTATTTTCGGGTTTGATGTCATTCTTATTTACAAAGGCCCTCTCCATTCTCCAGTATATTGAGTGGAATATTCAATTCAATTTCATTCCAGAAGTATTCTCCTATATTTATATATAGTAACTTTTATGTGCAACACTAGCTTTATCATACACAAGATTCCTATACATATCTGGACCTGATTCTGCACTTGACATTCTTTCAACAGATTAATTTGTCTTTGGCTTTATTTGTTCCTCCTGTTTTCTTACCTAGTTTTATAGTATGTTTTGATATCTGATAGGGTAAGTTCTCACCCTTCTCCATTTCTTTCCTTCACTAAAATTTTATTTGGAGAACCCTAATCTTGATGAGGTTAAGATCTGGAGCAATTAAAGCTATTTCACCCCAGAGGTATAGAAATCTCAAGTCTCTTTGAAGAATGTCAACAAGGTTTAGGAATATCTGATTTCCTCTGGGTCTACTAACTAAAAGTCAAGTGAGTAGGACAAAGTTAAGGTCTTTGTATTTTGGAATGTAGGGAAACAGACTACTAATTATAGGCCTAACCCAAATCAGAAAGATTGTTAAGTATCTCGAAAAGACATATAAATATTTATATATATATATAGTGTGTGTGTGTGGCTCACAAAGTGATTTGGGGAGAAAATTATCATGTTCATGATTTAAACCAAATGGTGGACATTATCAAACTAGAAAATTTGAGAATACTAAGTAAAACTGCATAGCAGTCTAGCAAGATATGCTGTAACTCCAGAATTAATAACTAGTGAGGCTAGAAGAGGTATTGAATATCCTACATTCTAAAGAGACATTAATACCTTCCTTAGGACTTATTAAGAGAAGATAAGCTGGCTCTTAGAGCCCAGAAGTCTATCATGAAATACGGGAAAGGAGAGAGAGGAGGTTTATGGGAATACCAAGATACCACCTTAGGACTGTGGTGTGTGTGATACCAAAGCTTCTCTGTCACCCCTTCTCTCACTACCACAAAAATGGGAAAAAGTTGACTTTTTCCTCTCAAAGGCACGTGATGAGGGTACTAAGAGACTCACTAATAAAGACAGGGGGTGCTTGCAAGAGGGAGACTCTGGAGTGTCATCCCTGGCTAAAGTTTTAAACCAGATATGAGCTACTTAGGCAGCTGACCTGCTGGTTTGCCCCTTGACTATCTGAGTAGAGAGAGGGAGAACCAACGAAGTGGTCGATACTGTCCCTGCTATCTCATCACTGTCCTATCAAGATGGCAGCTCCCCAGGGGAGGGGACCCCAGTAGCTAAGGAGAATGCTGTGTGAGAGGGGCAGTAGTATTCTGGAGCCAGCACGCCAGCCAATTTTTGAACTTTTAGGAACTTAAACACAGTCATTATTAAAAGTTAAAGTACATCAAGTTATAATTAAATAATTTATAAACAAAGATAATACTCAAAACTCATTTCTTAATTATTTTATTGCTATTATTGTTTATCTTCATAGTTTTTTTTTATGTCTACTCTTTGTGTATGGTGGAAAAAACCAGCATGCTACCATGCATCTTATCCCAATTATGCATTCAGTAAGGTCATGTATGTAGATTGAAATTGGAAAATGCTACAAATTAGGACCTGACCTATTGGTTTGTTTATTGTATGCAGTTGAAGTGATGGAGAAAATGCTAATAATGCATATTAAACCTAAAAGTATATCATGTCTAGAGTCCCAACTTTGCGACTAGCATAAAAATTGGCCGATATATTCTCCCAGTATTTGAAACTATTATCTGATTCAGCAAAGAAATTGCTCATGACATTGACTAACAAGTGAAATTCCAACATCCTTCTTCTTTGTTTTACTTTTGTCTTAGTTCTTAACTTAAATGAAAATATCACCCAATATTCATGTTAGAACTACACTTGTTTGTCAGTTGCAACCATAAGATGGCTACAGACAAAAGCTTTTGACAAAAATCACTGAAAGTTGCCCTTTTGCCTCGTTGCCTCCAAGAAAGCAAGATGGGTCACCAGTAGCTCTACTGGAGCCGTCCAAGAAAATTCGGCCAGGGTTCTCATTCTTGCTGTCCGCTCAAACTGGCAGGGTCTGATCCAGAAATAAGGCCTCCATATGTGCTGCCAGTGTTTCAGTCAGCATGCAAACAATATAGGCTTTAAGTTGGAATAAGTGAACCTCCTTGAATGGGTCATCCAGGACATCTACCTTACCACAGAGACAATGCTAGCTCTTTGTACAGAAACAAAAAACTTCCAAAAAAAAATCACTGAAAGTCTTCCAGGAAGATCAATGGCTATATGGAATCTGCATTAGAATACTGTGTATTATCTATAAATTGTGTACTACACATTCTTTACATCAGTAAAATGTATAATAAACTTATGTATGTACATATGCACATACTACCATCCTACACTCACCCCCAGCCAGTTGTTTAACATTTACCAGTACACCACCAGGGAAGGGATTAGTCAAGGAGGTTGAGCCAGGGTTGGGTCTTCCACACCAGGGAACTGGGAAGTGAGGTCTCCAAATTGCCCAACGTGAAGCAGTACTTTGTTACCCAGAAGGCATGGATGGCAAGACAGTGCTTGCCAAAGAAGCGGGGAGGATGGTAAACCATGGAAAATTAGGTAAAGGAACACTAGGTAATCAATCATTACCTAGCCCCCACTGCCTCGGAGGTAGGCCTTGAAAAAGGAGAGAAAGGAGGAATCTGAGAATCAGAACGTGTTCCATCCACCCTGATGGAGTCTAAGGAGGAAATTAGATTTAAACGAGGTATGAGATGGGAGTTTAAAAATGAACCAGACTGACCTTCTAATAATTGAAAGTGATCTGAATGGTATCAGATCTGCCAAATATTAAGGGCTAGAAAAGTAAGATTCAACAAAACATGGCGGAGGGCAGTGACTGGAGAAAATTAAAACCATTCCACATTAACGCCTTCTGAGTTGAGACTGCTTAATAAACAATTAAAATACATTGGCTATAACCTAAAGTATACTGTTGATAAAATATTTTTAAAAACTTAAAAATTCATCCTATAAGTCTACATAGCTGTGCTATGTACATTAAATCAATGTGTGTTTTGAAATATAAAGCAATCTGTTAGAATAGACTCATCTAAAGAAAAGCACAGATGGTGACTTCTTACTGAGAAGCTATTGTATTGCAATTCTAGTTAGGCAATAATTCCTAACGAATTCTCAGAGAATATCCTTACAGTATAGGACTTGTTTAAGACACCAGAGATTCACATATTATTTTCCCCGAAATCCACTGTAAAAAGCTGTGGCTGCAGCAAGTACGAAAGAGTCAAGGATGCCAAGATATTGAAGCTAGATTTTTTTTTAAAGCAGCTTTATTAATTCACATACCATACAATTTACCCATTTAAAGTGTACACTTCAATGATTTTTAGTACATTCACAGAGTTATGCAACCATTACCATAATCCATTTTAGTATATTTTCATCACGCCAAAAAGAAACCTTGTGTCCATAGGCAATCACTCCCCATCTCCCCAAATCCTCTAGCCCTAGGTATCCAGTAATCTACTTTATGTCTCTACATATTTCTCTATTCTGAACTTTTTATATGAACAGAATCATACAACATGTGGTCTTTTGTGCCTGGCTTCTTTCACAAAGCATAATGTTTTCAAGGTTCATCCATGTTGTAGCATGTATGCATCAGTACTTCATTCCTTTTTATTGCCAAATAATATTCTATTGTATGAAAATACCACATTATATTTATCATCAGTTGATGGACATGTAGGTAGTTTTCACTTTTTGGCAATTATGAACAATGCTGCTATTAATATTTGTGTACAACTTTTGCATGGACTTTTTTTGTGTGTGTGAGGAAGGTTGGCCCTGAGTGAACGAACATCTGTGCCAGTCTTCCTCTATTTTGTATGTGGGATGCCATCATAGCATGGCTTGACGAGCAATGTGTAGGTCTGTGCCTGGGATCTGAACCCGCAAACCTAGGCCCACTGAAGCAGGAGTGTGCGAACTTAACCACTATGCCACCGGGCCGGCCCCAACCACGGACTTGTTTTTACTTCTCTTGGGTACATACCTAGAAGTGGAATCCCTGGTCATCAGTAGCTCTATGCTTAAACCATTAGAGGAACTGTCAAAGTGCTCTCCAAAGAGGATGTACCATTTTACATCCCCACTAGCAATATGTGAGGATTCCAATTCCTCACATCCTCACCAACACTTGCTATTATCTAAGGATGCTAGATTTTAAAGAGAGAATAGCTAATGCCCCATTGGCCTATACCCACCAAGTATCCAGTTTTTTTAAAAAAATATATACTCTACAAACATTTGTTCCTGCCAACTATGGAAAATAAATTTTCTTAAATTGGACTATTTCTCTTATGATCTCTAGCTATGAGAGACCAAAGATTATCTTGATCCTCTCTTGCCACACTTCCAACCCTGATGGAAGTAAAAATGACAATACTAATCTAACGAGTGTGTCTGTAATATATACCTTTCCTTCAAAATAAAAAAAATATTGTTTTATCCCCCAGTTCTCAAATGTAGCCCCCTCATTACAAACTAGTATTCTAATATATCAATTTTCCCCTCAAATAGCTTTTCTGTTCACACTCCTAGTCAGTAGCTAAGCACGAGACAGAGATAGTTTTAAGAGTGGGTGCCAATACAGCAGTCATGCTCTAGATCCTATCACACATGTCCATAGTCTCCACCACATCTGGGAATCTGGACTTGAGTCCAGAGATATAAATAACCCAACTCAGAGCCAGAGCTGGACAAGAATCTCAGTGGTTTCAGTTTACTAGATCATTCTGACTCCCTTTGAGTGCTGGAAATCTGTAGTTGAGGCAGCCTGGTGAGTTACACGGCTGCTGTCTATGCTGAGGAATGACTTTTCACTGATGGTGTGGGCTTTGATTTGGGCTGAGGCCTAGCTCTTATCCTCTCCTCCCAAAGCCATGTTGGTGAATCCTCTGCTAAAGCTGGAGCCCAACCATTACCTCTTATCAAGGAGGGCACTTATCACTCTGTGCTTACCAACTCCCTCCACTCTTTGAGAGTACGCAGTGTCTGTTTTTCAGTCTTGTATCACAAAAGCAGCAGTGTCTGAGGCACTGTAGATGACCATTTGATAAATATTTGTTTAATAAATGAATTAATTAGTAATCAGACCCATGACTGGTCAGGATGGAATTTAGTTTGTAGGTGGTATCAGGTTCCCGGCTAGACATCCTTCCTCATTCTCATACTCGAGCCTAAATGACATTTATACCTATAGGATCAGTGGCTCACCAAGTCACTGACTTAAGATAGTAAGCATTTGGGCAGCCCCATTATCAGTTTTTTTGTGGTTTAATATTTAGGTATCTCTGCTTTGAGTCTAAAGCAGACAATATGATCTATTTCCTACAACTGACTTCTTGCTTTGTCTTCAAGCTTCTCTGCTATCTTCTTCTTTTAGTCCCTGAAGGTTTCAATTCTTATAACTTATTCTTATATGTAGTCATTTTCTGTTTTATTGACATCCTGCCTGAACTTGAACCTACTGTTGTTTTAACCCCTTGGATAACATGTTCTACCACCAGACCAAACTTTGCCTATATACTGCTTCTCCCCTACTTCTGCTTCAGCCAAGTGGGGAAGTCTATTTCTAGGATTCACACTCTTACTGTATCCTTCTTATATAGGTAAAGAACTACATCCAAACAAATTCTAATATATCATAGGTGGTAAATTATGAACCTTGTTTTCCATTTTTCTGTTAGCAGAAAACGGGGATGGCTTAGTGAGGTGACAGGAGGGTTAACCCACTGGGTAATAATATTCACTGGTCTTGGAATGCATCCTTCTTGCTCACCAAGATTGGCCTGGAAATTTGTGGGAGACCAGGCACAGTCAAGTTCACACAGTCACTAGTGATGCTGTCACAGTGGTTAGGAAACCAAGTCTTGGGGATTCTGATTCCCAAATCTCTCTTGGCTCTTCCCCTCTTCTTCCTCTTCATGGCCTCTGTCACCTCTTACCTGGACCATCACAATACCTTCTTGAATATCTCCCTATCTTCAGTCTCTCCAACCCTAGGTGAACTAAGCTTTAGCCTCTAAAGGTACAAACCTGGTCATGCAAGGTCCTTATTTCAAAACCTTCTATTTCCTGTCTTCCTCCTCCCCTACCATGATGTCCCCAGTGGCAAGGCCAACTATGCATAAAGATGTATCTTTGTCAATAACCTGTTTGATGTCCCAGATGCTTTTTACCCATTAAATTATTTTTTCAATATCCTAATCATATTATCTTCAGTGAGGGCTCTTCTAATGTTTTGCTCTCCTCTTTAGTTCTTACTGTTTCTGGAGGAAATATAAGTTTTCAAAAGAGGCAAACACGTTAATGTGAGAGAACACTACAACACAGAATAGTGTGAAGTCATTGTTCAAAAAGGAAAATTCTTTTTCTTTTTGGTGAGGAAGATTTGCTCTGAGCTAACATCTGTTGTCAATCTTCCTCTTTTTTTGCTTGAGGAAGATTAGCCCTGAGCTAACATCCGTGCCAGTCTTCCCCTATTTTGTATGTGGGTTGCCGCCACAGCATGGCTTGACAAGTGGGATCTGCGCCTGGGATCCAAACCCACGAACCTGGGCTGCTGAAGAGGAGCACCCCAGACTTAACCACTACATGACAGGGCTTGACAAGTGGGATCTGCGCCTGGGATCCAAACCCACGAACCTGGGCTGCTGAAGCGGAGCACCCCAGACTTAACCACTACATGACAGGGCTGGCCCCCCAAAAAGGAAAATTCTTGATAAGAAACTTTATGCTCACTAAGTGTAAAGTGCTGGTCTATATATTAAAATAACGCATCAATACAAAGGGGTTTCCATCTTAATAGCCTCATGAGCAACAACTCCTGACAACAATTTGGTCAGTCTACAGTGTCATTCTAGTCTTCCCTAGGGACTCAATATCTGAGGCAGAAGAAAACAGAAACCATTGATCTCATGAGGTTGGGGGGAGGGAAGCTCTTAAAACACAGAGAGGAGGAAAGAAACAACGTGGCAGAAGCACTTATCAAAGTAATCTGCGTACACATTAACTCCTTTAAAATAGCGCTATTTAGGCAGCATCATCTTGTCTCATATGTGAGAGGGAGGAAAAAAAGATCAAACTGCTCATTGTGGGATTTTTCTAATCAGCATTTTAAACTAGATTTTAAACCCTTTCAGAGTTAAGTCAACTTCTCTCTAGCCAGTGGCCCCTATAACCTCCCTAGGGTGGAAATCCCCAACCTGCTTCCTGCTGCTTCCCTAAGTAGGTCTTTGATTACTCCTCACAAGCCCTGTTGCACTGGCTCTGTAACCTGCTGACCTTTCTTACCTTAACACTTAGCCTAGATGCAAGCCTCTCTCACTTAAAAAAATGCCAGGACTACTCTGGGACAAGGACATACATCAAAACTCTCCAGCTTTTCTCACTCTTCACAAGACTGTAGTAATTCAAAGCTGGGACTCTCTCTAACTGACTGCATAGCAACTTTGTAAAGGAGAGGAAATCCAGCTTCTATCTTGTAGCCTCCTTCCTTGTTTGGCTAATTCCCTGGTGTATTTCCCCCTACTGCTACTCACAGATCTTTCTCTCCTAGGGAAATGTTCATATACCTGATCATTATGTGACTGTCATCCACTGTGCCATCTTTTCAGAGGTACATACATTTTCAAAGAGAACTATAGAGACCACACTTAGCACAGAGAAATGAAACTAATACAAAACAACTGGAACAAAAGTGTATGTATATAATTTAGCTCTGTTAACTAGGAGGAATTTGGGGTTCTTCAAATCACATAGCTGAAACCCACCATCCACTCTGCCACTCTAAGGTACTCAGCACAGTGTCTGACACACAACTCTATCTTTTCCATCTATTTCTCATAAGTCTGGTTTAGATTACTACTTCTCATGTAGCTAGCTGTGCCAGTCATTCTTCACAGAAATTTGATCCTCACTGATGCTTGAGCTTTTCAAATGACATTTTAACATTCATATTATACTACTTTAATTCTTTCTGCAAGATTCTACTTTAATTCACTAAAAGCAAGAAAATAGGTTGTAGAA